ATATGGACAGTTTAATGATGTTAATTCTTCCAGTCTATGCACAAGGTATGTGCTTCCACTTTTTTATATCTTCCTCTATTTCTTTTTTCAATGTCGTGTAGTTTTCTGCAAATAGGTCCTTTACTTCTTTGGTTAAGTTTATTCCTAGGTATCTTAATTTTTTTGCTGTGATGGTAAATGGGATTGTTTTCTGAGTTTCTCTTTCTGTGAGTTCATCATTGGTGTGTAAGAATGCCATCAATTTCTTGACATTAATTTTGTATCCTGCTACTTTGCCAAATTCATTTATTAAGTCTAGTAGATTTTTGATGGAGTCTTTAGGGTTTTCTATGTATAATACCAGGTCACCTGCAAATAATGACAGTTTCACTTCCTCCTTTCCAATTTGGATCCCTTTTATTTTTTCTTCATGTCTGATTGCTGTTGCTAAGACTTCCAGTACAATGTTAAATAAGAGTGGCGAAAGTGGACATCTCTGTCTTAAGGGCAATGTTTTTAGTTTCTGCTCATTCAGTATGATGTTGGCTGTAGGTCTTTCATATATGGCCTTTATTATGTCGAGATATGATCCCTCTATTCCCACATTGCTGAGCGTTTTTATCAAAAATGGATGCTGGATTTTGTTGAATGCTTTTTCAGCATCTATTGATATGATCATGTGGTTTTTATTCTTCATTTTGTTTATAAGGTTTATCACATTTATTGATTTGCGAATATTGTACCAGCCTTGCATCCCTGGCATGAATCCCACTTGGTCATGGTGAATAATTTTTTTGATTTATTGCTGGATTCGATTTGCTAGTATTTTGTTCAGGATTTTGCCATCTATGTTCACCAGGGATATTGACCTGCAGTTTTCTTTCTTTGTAGTGTCTTTTTCTGGTTTTGGAATTAGAATTATACTGGCCTCATAAAACGAGTTGGGAAGTCTTCCTTCTCCTTGAATATTTTGAAATAGTTTGAGGAGAATGGGTGTTAGTTCTTTTTTGAATGTTTGGTAAAACCCCTGTGATGTCATCTGGGCCTGGACTTTTGTTTGCTGGGAGAGTCTTGATTACCTCTTCAATTTCCTTAGTTGTTATTGGTCTGTTCGAGTTTTCTATCTCTTCCCGGTCCAGTTTTGGTAGCCTGTGTGTTTCTAGAAATTTGTCCATTTCACTTAGATTGTTGAATTTGTTGCCATATAGTTGTTCATAGTAGCTATTAACGATTTTTTGTATTTCTGTGGTGTCAGTTGTTACTTCTCCTCTTTCATTTCTGATTTTGTGCATTTGGGTTCTCTCTCTTTGTTTCTTGGTAAGTCTAGATAAGGATCCATCAATCTTGTTTATCTTTTTGAAAAACCATCTCTTTGTTTCATTGATCCTTGAAATTTTTTTTTTTTGTCTCTATGTCATTTATTTCTGCTCTGATCTTTACTATTTTCTTCTTTCTACTTGCTCTGGGGTTTTCTCTTTGCTTTCTAATTCTTTAAGTTGTGAGGTTAGACAGTCAATTAGAAGTTTTTCTTGTTTCTTGAGGTAGGCCTGTAGTGAACTTCCCTCTCAGAACTGCTTTCACTGCATCTCATAGATTTTGTGTTGTGTGTTCATTTTCATTGGTTTCCAGGAAGTTTTTAATTTCTTCCTTGATCTCCTCGCTAACCCATTCATTGTTTAATAACATGCTTTTTAGCCTCCATGTGTTCAAATGTCTTTGCATGTTTTTGTTGCAATTGATTTCTAGTTTCATGCCATTGTGATCTGAGAAGATGCTTGGTATAATTTCAATCTTCTTAAACTTGTAGAGATTTAGTTTGTATCTTATCGTGTGGTCTATCTTTGAGAATGTCCCAGGTGCACTTGAGAAGAATGTGAATTCTGTAGTTTTGGGGTGTAATTCTCTGTAGATATCTATTAAATCCATTTGGTCTAGTGCTTCATTTAGAGTCTCTGTTTCCTTGCTAGTTTTTTGTCTAGAGGATCTATACAGTAGTGTCAACAGGGTGTTGAAGTCCTCTGCTAAGATTGTATTGCTGTTGATTTCTCCTTTGAAGTCCTCCAGAACCTTTTTAATATATTTTGGTGCTCCTATATTGGGTGCATATATGTTTATCAAGGTTATATCTTCCTGTTGGATTGATCCTTTCAATATTTTGTAGTGGCCTTCTTTGTCTCTAGTTATGGTCCTCATTTTGAAATTTATTTCATTAGATATGAGTATTGCTACCCCAGCTTTTTTTGCTTTGCATTTGCTTGGAAAATTTTTTTCCATCCCTTCATTTTCAACCTATGTGAATTTTTATTGTGAGGTGGGTCTCTTGTAAACAAGATATAGATGAGTCATGCTTTCTTATCCAATCAGCTACTTTGTGTCTTTTTATCAGAGCCTTCAGTCCATTTACCTTTTTTTTTTTATTGATTAATTTTTGTTACAGATGATTCTCCTGTTTTCCCCCACTGATTCCCCCCTCCCCCCCCCTCCCTGCCCCTTCCCCAGATTGTTGTCCATGTCCACTGTTCATGCATACATGCGTATAAGTTCTGTGGTTCATCCCTCCCCCACCTCCCCACACCTTAGGGAATTGTCAGTCTGTACCCCGCTTCCGCGTCTCTGGGACTACCCCATTCCTCAAACTGTTATGTTCATTATATTCCACATATGATCTCACTGATTTGTGGAATATAATGAACAGTCCATTTACCTTTAAAGTGATCATTGATATGTATTATTTTTTGCCATTTTTGTTTAGTTTGGTTATATTTTTCTTTCTATTTCTTCTACTAATTACAGCAGTCCTTTTAACATTTTTTGCAGTGCTGGTTTGGTGCTAATGTATTCCCTTAGCTTTTTTTTTTTTTTTTTTTTCTGGGAAGCTCTTTATTTGACCTTCTATTTTGAATGACAGCCTTGCTGGGTAGAGTAGTCTTGGATTCAGATCCTTGTTTTTCATGACCTTGATTACTTCATGCCATTCCCTTCTGGCCTGTAGTGTTTCTTGTGAGAAGTCAGCTGAGAGTCCAATGGGGTTTCCTTTGTAGGTAACCTGTTGCTCATCTCTTGCTGCTTTTAGGATTCTCTCTTTGTCTTGAATTTTTGGCATTTTAATTACTATGTGCCTTGGTGTGGGCCTGTTTGGGTTCTTCTTACGTGGGGCTCTCTGTGCCCCTTGAACTTGAATGCCTTCTTCCTTCACCAAATTAGGGAAATTTTCTGTCACTATTTCTTTGAATATATTTTCTAACCCTTGCTCATTTTCTTCTTCTTTGAGGAGTCCTATGATGCGAATATTATTATGTTTCCAGTTGTCCCACAGTTCTCTTAAGCTGTCTTCCTGTTTTTTAATCGTTTTTTCCTTTTGGTTTTCTGATTGGTTGATTTTTTCTACCCTGTCTTCTAATTCACTGATCTGGTCCTCAGCTTCCTCTATTCTGGTCTTTAGGCCTTCCAATGTGTTCTTTATTTCTGATATGTCACTCTTGATCTCTTCTTGGTGCATTTTAATTTCCGATTGGTTTATTTCCAGCATTTCTATGTCCTTACTCATTCTGTTGAGCTTCCTCAAGATCATGGCTCTGAATTCTAGCTCTGTTAACATGCCTAACTGCTCCACATTGATATCATCCTTGGTAGAGGTCTCTTGTTCTTTCATTTGGCTTTTGTTTCTGTGTTTCACCATTTTGGCTATCACTGTGGGCTTGGAGCCTGCCAAATTTTCCCTGTGGGTGTTGGTGTTCTGCTGTTTGTGGCTCCCTCTCCTGGGTTTCGATGAGCAAGGGAGGACACACATTAAACACCACTGTCAAGTCTTACTTTCCTAGTTAAAGTTGGTAGCCCAGGAATGGTACTGTTATCCTCTAGCTTTTTGCTTGGAGGCTAGCAGTCCAGGTTACTCAAAGAGTTTTGGGTTGTCAGTTGATTGAAAAACTCCTTCAGGTGCTCAGCATAAGGGGATTTCCTGAGGGTGGGGCAGATGCTGGTTGTTAGTGAGCCTCAATTTGCATTTTAATGGCTCACAGGGTGGGGTTGGATCTCCGAGGGAGGGGCTGCTGCCTCTCCCCAGAGCCCTGGGAAGGAGCAATATGGCCACCGTCCTGTGTGGCAGCAACTCAGCAAAAGCTCTGAGTGCCCTCCAAATCCCGAGTGTCCCGACACAGTTCCAGTCCAGTCTGCCCTCCTTCTGCAGGAGCCCAAGGTGAGTGGCTGTGGCTGTTTTAGCCTCTGTCCTGGCTCTGCGCTGTGGAGCCTCCTGGGAGTGTAACCCGAGGGCGTTGCTCCCAGCTAAGGCCGCTGCCGAGCTGCTGACCGTGGGCTCCCAGCCCGTCTTGCGCCTTCGCAATCCCACCAGGATCGAGTCAGTGTCCCTGGTTATATGGTCCTCGCAAGCTGCTTTTCTGTTTGTTTTTCCCCTCGATTTGTCTGTGTTATAGTTGTAATTCCAGTTTGGTCCTGGGAGACGGTCTGTGTAGCTCCGTTCACTCCGCCGCCATTCTGGAATCCCATGTAGACAGTTTTAGAACATAGCGTAGGGAGAAATGCATAAGAAACAGCAAGAGTTATAGAGCAATATCATTAACATAAATTAAAGTACAAGCAGAAACACCACCACAGAACTGTGGATGCGTCACACTCATACCATGTACTTGGACTCATTTTGGACACATCACACAGAGCATGTGGGGGCAGTGGTGAGTGGGACTGGGGATGAGGGATAAAAGGAAGAAGAGAAACCAAGGGCCTCAGAGAAAGCAATGAAGAAATGATATCATACATTTAGGGGAGTGATTTAAGATCTTGATCCTCTGCCTTTTCCAGCTTAATGAATCTGCTATTGCAGGGCACCTGAAAACCTTCACCTCCCATCTGGCTTCAGGCTCCCTAAGGCAGGGGCTGTGTCAAATACAAGGTCATCCCCTCGCAGCCAGCCTGGGACCTGCACGCATCAGATAATGGAGCTCTCCACACGTAAGGCCCCACGACTACATTTCCCAGAGTTCTCTGGGTGGTTTTAAGAGGAGGAGCCCCAGGGGAGGAGCAGTTTGAAAAGTCAGGGAGAGCTCTTCCTGTGCGGGTTCTGAAAGTGGAAGGAGAGAAGTCAGTGTAGTTCCTGGTGTGGTCCTAGCTGAACTCGGTAAGTGGCTCTTTCATGCCTTGAAATTGGGGCTGAATCCTATCTCAAATGTGAATCCAGGCAGCTAGATCCTACAGTGTGCCTGAATTTCAAGTCCAGTGATGGTTCAGAAAGGTTTGCTGACATCCACTTAGGATCCTTATGCTGTAAGGACTGTACAGTGTAAGGCGAAGATATGGACCCTTGATTAGTCTGCCTGGGTGAGATCACAGCACACCACATCCCAGCTGTGAGGACTGGGGCGGCCACCTAGCACCTCTAACAGTCAGTTTATCTGTCAGTAAAAGGGAGCTCACTAGAGAGCTTACTTAAAAGGGCTCTGAGGATTAAAGAAGTGTAGAACAGACAGCGTATATGTATAATGTGTGCTTCAGGGAACTGGATTTCTCTGTTGGATAAATGAAACAGTGATGTCCACCTCTTCTGTCCCCAACTGAGGGTGTCCCAAAGGGCCCAGTTTGTCCTGGCAACAGCAGGTTCATCACCGTTTCTGCTCCCTCTGCATTAGCCGGTCAGAACTTCGCTGATGATCCCAAGTGGCCGGGGAAGCTGGAGCAGGTTGTCTGTAAGGTTTGAGGGCATTCCTGGGGCGGGGGGTAGAGGGGTTTCCATCATGTTGGAGGGAGGCTTAGGCGGAGGGTGTCCAGAAACCATAAATGACAAGAATCAAGTCCTTCACTGTCAGGCGGACTGAGGATGCCTCTCCCTGAGCAGAGCTGTGCAGAAGTCCGTGGCAGGGACCCCAGGAGGCAGCCGCCCGCAGCAGCAGCCTAAGGGCCCAGGCTCCTGGCCTTGCTCCCATGCTCCAGCTGGGGCCACAGCAGCACCCTGGTGGGCCCTTTTTGGATCAACTGCTTTTCCCTTCCCCAGGGCCCTTGTTTTAGTTTCTCACTCACAAAACAGCTGACCTCACCTTTTCTCACTCAAAAAAGAAGTAATAACTTCCTGTCAACCATCTAGTGCCTCTCCCCTGGAGACCTCTTTTTTGGGCCCTTAATGTGTTTAAAATTTTGTTTTTCTTTATTGATTTTAGACAGAGAGGAAGGGAGAGGGAGAGAGAGATAGAAACATTGATGAGAAGAAACATCAACTGGCTGTCTACTGAATGCCGCCCACTGGGGATCAGGTCCACAACCTGGGCATGTGCCCTGACCAGGAATGGAACCAGTGACCTCTTAGTGCACAGGTCCACGCTCAACCACTGAGCCACACTGGTCAGGCCTTTATGCGTTTTAAAAGTTCAGAACCAATTTTAAAAATACGCAGGTATCACCTGCACGTCTGAGTTTGAGTTTCTGCTTCTTCTGAGGAGGGGAAATAATAGAATTAAAAGCAAAAACCCACTCAAAACTCCCTTTCACTGTAACAGCTGACTGCCATGCAGGACGGGCTGCCTCATTGGCCTTCAGAGCACAGAGCAGTGTTGAGGGAGGCCTGTGGGTGAGGCTTGCCCAGCAGCCTCTTCCTCCCTCAGAAATCACCAGCTGACCACTTGCCCCTGGGGCTGAGCTGGGTGGTAGTGTCCTTACAGGGGGCCTCAGAGCAAATCGAAAGGGAAGAGGTGGGAAGGGAGGGGAAGAAGAAGGAAAAGGGAAAGGGAAAGTGAAAGGGAACAGAAAGAAAAACCACTCAGAAACACTCCTTAAAATTCATCTATTCAACTCAGCCATTCTGTTCCTTGGTATAAACACAAAATCATTGAAAACACACACTGGAAAATGTACTGGATCACAGACATTCCCAGCAGCGCTATTCACAATAGTCAGAGATGGAAACAAGCCAGATGCGGTCGAGGAAGGCGGAGATGAACAGGTGGTGCATCCACACCACAGGACACTCCAGTCACAACAGGAAACGGGGCACTGATACGAGTTACCCAGTGAAGGAACCTCGCAACGTCCTGCTAAATGAAAGGACCTAGACACAAAGTGTCCCACCTAATAGGATTACATTACTATGAAATATCCAGAATAGATACATCCATAGTGATGGAAAGCAGAGTGGTGGTTCTGAAGGCTGGAGAGAATGGGGAGCCACTGCTTAATGATGAGGGATTGCATTTTGTGCTAATAGGATCTTTGGAACGAGGTGAAAATGGTGATGCACTGTGAGCATGCTAAATGGCACTGGATTGTTCCCCTGAATGTGCTTAATTTTCTGTTATGTGAATTGCAAACCAGTTATTTAAAATAAATCTATTCAGTAATGCCAGAAATCCTGGAAGTGGGTTGACCATTTCACCCCAGTCCTGAAGCGTACCTGTGCTGCTTGTAGCCTTGGGGGAGCGGCAGCATTTCATTTCCTCAAGCACAAAACAGGAAGTCCACTCCTCCCCTCAAAAGGAGACTTTTTTTCCCACTGATTTCTCAGAGTGTCAGGGAAGGCAGGAGGGGGAGAGAGAGAGAGAAACATCGATGTGAGAGAGACACACTGAATGGTTGCTTCCTGCATGTACCCAACCAGGCTGGGGATCGAACCTTCAACTGAAGTAGGTGCCCTTGACAGGAATGGAACCCGAGACCCTTTGAGTCATAGACCGATGCACTAACCACCACACCACACAAGCCAGGGCCTAGAGACTTGTTTTGCTTTGCCTTTATCTTCAGCTGAGCAGGTGTTTCTGTGCTTGGCTCTGCGGACCTGCTCTGGGGACCTGCCTGACCTCTGCAATCAGTCATTCAGAGGCGGGGCTGAGATGCAAGCCTTTAGTACACCAAGGCTTGTTGAACCATGACCTCTGAACAGGAGTAGCTTAGCAACTTCCTTTTCATCCAGAAAGTCCACCAGCTGGCCACCTGCCCCTGGGAAGGGAGCTGGCGTGCAGGGTCAATCTAGTGGAATGCCCTGGCCTTCACTGGGACAAAGAAGAGAAAAGGAAAGGGATAGAAAAAGAAAAAAAACACCCACAAAGACAGCCACTCACGACCATTCCTCAAAACCCTCCTATTCCACAATGCCGGAAATCTAGGCTGTAGGCACAGAAGGTTCCATTTCAGTCACTGACTGTACGTGTGCTGCCTGTAGCTGTGAGGTGTGACAGTAGCTTCTCGTGGGCAGACTAGTTCTGGATGGAACTGTTTTCAATTCTTCTATTTTAGTCTCTTGCCTGCAACTTCATTTGGGGAAAGACTTGGGGTTTCCTTAGCAACAACTAAACAAAACTGAAAACCACTGTTGTCCATGCAAGATGGAGAGATCCTAGACTGGGAACTGATCAATGAGTTCTGCGTATCAACTATTTTCCAAGGTGCACCCCAAAAGATCATTTGTACTTGAAGTACCACGTCACTAAGGACAAATGACAGTAGTCAGTTTAACAACTGAACACTGACCACTCAACAAAACAAAAAGGACCCGTTTGATCTACAGAAAAAAGGCGTCTCTTTCGCCTGACATTCAAGGCCCTCTGGAAGTCGCCTGTGCACCTCACCTTCCTTTCGCACCGCTCTCCAGAACGACCACTGATATGCTTTAAGTCACGTTCCCCAGACACTGAGACCGGGATCCATGTGCAAGTGCTCCTGGGAGAAACCCAGTTTTGCACGATGTGAATTCTCACTCAAAGTGCGTCCAGACTCCAGGCAAGGCAGCTGGACTTTCAGAACCTCCCACCAGTCATTCACTGACTCAACACTGCCCTGGAGGTTATGAATTCCCCAGCTCCTCCAGCTCTCTGCAGAGGAAGGCACAACAGCTCTGGGAGCCCACAATGGGTCCTCCAGAGAGAACCTAGGGTGCAGGTCCTTAAGCATAAGGACACAGAGGCAGGCCAGGGACACAATGAAATGGTGAAAGACATCTGAAGGGACCTGGGCAGTACAGATAGCATTCTCCCCATGGTAGCCTCAGTCCTGAATCTTCACAAACCCCATGTGCCCTCTCTGGGTACACTGAGCATGCTCTGTTCCTCAGCTCTCTGTACCTGTGGTGGAGGCCAAGAGGGTCTAATGGGTTTCATTTCAGTCAAAAAAATTTTTTTTAAATTACATCAGCCATAATTCTCATACCTTTTCTGCTCTTCGTTCTATAATAAAAGGAGTCGCTGTGGACCATGAATCCTTTATTGTGGCCTCTCTCTTCCTTCTTATTTTCATTTTGATTCACCTTTGAACTGAGCAGTCAGGTGGTAACACTTTATCAGGGTAGCTCATTCTTCATGCATTCCTCAAGTCCTCTCATGTTTGACGTTATCTTCATATTCATGATGCCTTTGTGTTGAAAGGAAAACTAGCCGACTTTCCTCTGAACTTAGTAGACATGTTACTATGGAGTATTCTGCTGCCAGTCTGATAGTTTCTTCTTTATAAAGCATTTGCTTTTCTGCCAAATACCCAAGTATTCTTCAATTTTAAACTTCAATAATTTAACCAGCATATATTCCAGTGTTGAATGTTGAACCAAACTTTTCCAGAATCTTGCTGTTTTCAGATTTAATTTTTGCTTCAGTTCAGGAAAATGTTTTTGTTATTTTTATTTATTTTTTATTTTTTTATCCTCACCCGAGGATATTTTTCCATTTTTTGTACAGATAGAGCGGGAGGGAGAGAGAAGAAGGGAGAGAGAGGGAGAAACATCGATGTGAAGGGACACATCAAGTGGCTGCCACCCGCACGACCAACCAGGGCCAGGGACAAACTGCAACCGAAGTACGTGCCCTTAGCGGGAACCGAACCCAGGTCTCTCCGGACCGCAGGCCGACGCTCTAACTGCTGAGCCAAACTGGCCAGGGCTATTTTTATATACATTTTCTATTGTGCTTTTTGAGTTTTCTTCTCCAGAAGCATCCATTGTTTTTCTCTTGGCTTCTTTCTAATTGTTTAATGGCTTTATCTTTCCACTGACTATTACTATGAGTATCAAGTTCTTCTACATTTCATTTGCTATCATGCTGTATCTATACTGTCCCTTTTGGTTTTTAATTAATTATGTATTAGCTTTGTGTTCTGAGTTTCCTAAGGTCTGAAAGCTTTCTTCTCATAATACTGTATTATTTAATCACCTAATGTTTGGGCTTTTTGTTATGAGTCCATTTTAAATGTTCTTTTGCTCCAAGTACGAGTGAAGAATGTCTCTCCTTTGCCTTTTTTCTTTTTTCTTCTTCTTGTGTTGGTTGTCTTGTATTTGCATATTATGTCCTTTTCTTTAATTCTTAATCTCATAGTGCATTTACATCCTGTTGTTGTTTTTCCGTGATATCTGTGCATAGTTTGTCTCCACCTTTTACTTATTTCTTGACTCTAATGTGACTGGTGAGAGGTCCGGCTGGAGCGGGGCTTGTGCTTCTTAACCTTCTCAGTGGAGACGAAGGAAGATGAATATGATGGGAGACGCTGTGAGGGCTGACCTTCCCCAGGTGGGTGGTCCTTCCTTTCTGGTGACACCATAGAGAACACTGTGCCTTATTTTTTTGCCCTAAAATCCCCAATTATGCTTTATCCCTAAAGGGAGAAAACTGCTACCATTATATACTGGTCTTTGCTGTGTCTCGTAAATCTGTAGTAGTTCTTGGGGGCCTGGAGGTAGGCTCACCCTCCTTGCTGAGACCATGGCAACTAGTCATGTGGTCGCTTGCCTCTGAGCCCCTCCTGCCGACTCCCACAGCCTCGGGCTTACAGCCCATCTGCTGCTCCTGCCGCCCCTGCCTCTCCTTTCCACGCTCTCCCCGTGCGCCTCAGGTGTTCGCGTTGCCCTCAGTCCGAGCCCTCTGTCCCGTGATTTTTAGGGATTTTTCATAATTCGTGGTCCACCAAACTGCCTTTTTGTTGTCATGGGAGGTCACATATGTTTTACTGACCTATTATTTTTAGAGTTTGGGCCACATAGAAGAAATTTCTAAGTCTTATGAATTAAAACTAAAGTTAAACTTACTTCCAATTTACTGAGAAAGATGTAAGTGTCAGGAGGGGCGTTGGGATGGGCTGGTTAAATCAGTTCTTCTCTCTGTATCTGAGTGGTAGAGTCTTAGAGCTTGTATAGATGTTCAGAAAGGATATGGATGCAAGTTAAGATGAGAAGAAATGGCATGAGCTTCATAGATTTTGGGGAAATAATGTTGCAGACATCAAGAACAGAGAAAGTTGAAACACTAATTGGAAGGGAAGAATAGCTGGTCAAAAAAGACAAATAGGAGGATCTGAAAGAAAAGACATTAAGAAGGGCAATAGAAACACTCAGTTTATCACCATAACCTAGGGGCAGGTGCTTTGTCCTTGTCACCTCAGGCCATGTCATATCACCAACGGGATGCACCAGTGTTACAATCAGAGCAGTACTAGATTAGGACACTTTCCTACATGGGATTTAACAAGATAAAGACTTATGTTTTTTTTCTTTTGGCTCACCTAACCAGAAAGTCAAGAGATATCTCACGACTTGATTCAGGCCTTTTCTCGTCTTCCCTCCTCCTGCTTTTCATTCCTCAACTCAATAAATTCTTTGTCGATATTATTCTTCAGCAATTTCTCCCAGTAGCTTTGAGCAACTATCCTACCAGCTTCCAGCCCAACTGCAGAAAGTATCTGCTTTGGTTTCAGCAAAATCTCTCATAGAGTCTCGTTGACCTGACATGGGTCACATACGACCCATGAGCCAAGCAGTGGTCCTCGAGCAAATGTGCTTTGAATTGGTCCTACCTGGATCACATGTCTATTCATTCCACTGAGAAAGAATGAGGAGTCCAACTCTTCTCTACACAATAGCCAGAAATACCAATTTGATTATTGTTCACTTTGCCCAAACCGCAACCTTTTCACATTGATGTCTCATCTCAGAGTGAAAGCCAACAGCATTGGTTTCAAGGCCACTGTCATCTGTCTGATTTCATCTCGGCCCACATTCCCTGTCACTCACTCTGCTCTGATCATCCTGGTTCCCTAGGTAGTTTCCACTTTAAGGCTTTTTAATTTTTTATTTTTTTCTCCCACATATGTGGACTGACTAACATCCTTCAGGTCATAGTGACCTCTTTATTTGAAATTAAATTTCACTGGGTATACATCTTCTCTTCTTTCTTTGCTGTAGATTTCTAGCACTTACCACAATCTAGAGCTTGCATGTTTGATTTATTTATTCAACTGACTATTTGTGTCATCACAATCTGCACTAAAGTGTAAGAATTCTGAGGGCAAGTAAGTGTTGTAACCCAGGAGATCGACCACACTCAGACTCCATTTTTCAGTTTTTGGGGATGTTTTATTACCTGCGCAGGGACTGCAGCCAACCTACACAGGGAGAACTGCAGCCCCGAGCTCAGGGGGAGGGTTGCTTATATAGGGCAGGGGTCATTCAAGAGTTTAGCAGAGCAAGCAAGCTGCTTGTACAGAAGCAGAGGCAGTTAGCGATAAGCAGGAGGGAACGGACGGGGGAGGGAGCTGAGGCGAAAGGGAACTGGGTGAACTGGGTCAGCATACATCTGTCCTGCTATTCATTCCATTATCCAAGTTTTAAAAACTAACAAATTCGAGACGGATATCAGCGGTCAGTCAGGTGCAATACACACATGTTGAACAGTTACAGTTTTATGGGTAAAGGGAGCTTCAGTTTCTCCCTATCAGTTTCTTTACAGAGCATGCAGGACACTCTGGCCTTGGGGCCGTTTCTGTCCTCCCTTTTCCTGAAGGATGTTGCTTTTCAAATTCCCAGTGAAGGTCAAACTCTGGTTAATTTTTATGGGGCTAAAGCCCTCTATAACATTCCCCATTGTTCATCTTGCTGTCTCTGAGGTTGTTAATTAGGGCAGCTTAAAGATAAGTTGGATTCTAAGGACAGTGAGCTACAACAGTAAGTACTAGATCAGTAGCAAATACATAATAGGTTTTCATAAGCTTTTTCTAATCCTTACCTGAGGACATTTTTCCATTTTTTTATTCAGATAGAGTGGGAGGGAGAGAGGGAGGGAGGGGGAGAGAGAGAGAGAGAGAGAGAGAGAGAGAGAGAGAGAGAGAGAGAAACATCAACGTGAAAGGGACACATCGAATGGCTGCCACCCGCACGACCAACCAGGGCCGGGGACAAACTGCAACCGAGGTACATGCCCTTAGCGGGAACCGAACCCGGGTCTCTCGGGACCGCAGGTCGATGCTCTAACCGCTGAGCCAAATAGGCCAGGGCTTCATAAGCTTTTTTATTGAATGAATCAATATATCAATGTAGGGATGAATATAAATCTTTGAGTGTGGAACTTTGAGTGGGCTTAGCTAAAGGTGAAATTAGTGGGTCAGGTACCAAGAATTCAGTGTACCCTATAATTCTCCTGTTTACATTCAAATTATTTGTAAACCCTATTTTAATTGACAGCAATTTGAACCTCTTTTAAGTTATTACCACCAAAACCGCACATAAGCTGTTTATCATTTTGTTCAACTTAATCTGGATTTATAACTTTTCAAGTTTAAAACATGGAACTGTAATAATACTTTTCTTACAGGGTTACTGAGACTATTAAAGTGAACTTTACAATGTGAAAGAATTATTACAACAAAAGACTTATGATTGCAGATATTTATAACCACTGTTTGTATTTACATATTTAAAATACATTAATTAGGCTAATCAAAGAAATCTAAGGGCAAAAGTAATACTATGTGTCTTTGTTTTATTTTCCTTGCCTTAGGGGATCATGGACATCGAAGCATATTTTGAAAGGATTGGTTATAAGAACTCTAGGAACAAATTGGACCTGGAAACATTAACTGACATTCTTCAGCACCAGATCCGGGCCATTCCCTTTGAGAACCTTAACATCCATTGTGGGGAACCCATGGAATTGGGCTTGGAGGCCATTTTTGATCAAGTTGTGAGGAGGAACCGGGGTGGGTGGTGTCTCCAGGTCAATCACCTTCTGTACTGGGCTCTGACTACCATCGGTTTTGAGACTACAATGTTGGGAGGCTACGTTTACAACACTCCAGCCAAAAAATACAGCAATGCTATGATTCACCTCCTGCTGAAGGTGACCATAGATGGCAGGAACTACATAGCTGATGCTGGGTTTGGACGCTCTTACCAGATGTGGGAGCCTCTGGAGTTAATTTCTGGGAAGGACCAGCCTCAGGTGCCTTGCGTCTTCCGCTTGATAGAAGAGAGAGGAGTCTGGTACCTGGACCAAATCCGAAGAGAGCAGTACATTCCAAACCAAGAATTTCTTAATTCTGATCTCCTAGAAAAGAATAAGTACAGGAAAATCTACTCCTTTACTCTTGAACCTCGAACAATTGAAGATTTTGAATCTGTTAACGAATACCTTCAGACATCTGCAGCATCTGTGTTTACAAGCAAGTCATTTTGTTCCTTGCAGACCCCAGATGGGGTTTACTGTTTAGTGGGCTTCACCCTCACCTCTAGAAAATTCGATTATAAGGACAATATGGATTTGGTGGAGTTTAAGACACTGAATGAAGAAGAAATAGAAGAAGAGCTAAAAAATATATTTAATATTTCCTTGGAGGGCAAACTAGTGCCCAAATACGGTGATAAATTTTTTACCATTTAGAGTAAGGGCTAGCAATGATCTTCAGTAGTATTTCATGTACTGAAACTTATTATAAAAATTTAATATATATAAAAGTAGAGAGAATAAAATAAAAAACCCCAATTTATTTATCCCCATGTTACCAACTATCAGCTGGTAGCATATGTATCTCTCACAGGTCCTTGCTGACCTCACATGATATTAATCAAATCCTAGACATCAAGTCATTTCATCCTTAAAAATGCCAGCATATGTATTTATATAATGTTTTAAAGAAACAGAAACAGACTCTTTTTCAAAATTAATAGTAAAGGTATTTTAAAGGTGGCCTATGGTTTTCTTGGGAGAAAATAGTGATTTCTGTTAGAAAAATTTTTATACTGGTTGAATGTTGAATTCATAAAAAATGTTTACCCATGGTTCAGTAAATGGAAAACCGAGGAACTCGTTTTTTTAAAAATTCAACAAGGATATGTCCAATGTCCAAGTTTTACAAAAGAATTTAGGATTAGAATTCACCAAAGAAGAAGGAGACATGATACTGCTTCCTAATAGTTCTCAAGGCTTAAACCAACACATAGTAACATGTGATTAAGTATCAAGAGAGTGACACAGCCAATCATTTCTTCACGGTTCTTTCTGTGACCACAGCTCTTTATGTAGCATTTTCCTTAACACAGAATCACTGATATTTAGAATTTTTCAAATTCCAGAATTGTCATTTTGTCTACTAGTAATAAGCATTGTGGCTTTTAAAAGAGTTGTTATCTGTGAAAACTTGATGTGTAGAAGTATGTTAAGACATTGTTGGCTAATTCAACACAAAGTGTTTGGCAGAGTTAGAGGATGATGGGGCTGGGTCTTCCTCACACCCTCTTCTCTATCTCCTGGTTGTGTTCTTTTACTTCATCCCACACTTTGTCACCAGAGAAAGAGTCTGAGCGTCAGAGAGTATAGATCTGAGTTCAAACCCTTTGGACACTGGGTGAATTACTTCACGCACCTGTGGCTCTGACCCCTCAGAGGTAAAATGGGGATCATCTGCCGTGTTAAGTGCCAGACAGAGTCAACTCACAATAAATATGTGTTATATGGATGAATGAAGAATGTCAGTCATGTTTTTGATACTGGGTCAGCATTTGATAAAAGTTCTTCCATCTCATTTTCATTCCCTAGCTCGGCTCTGGTCCTGGGTCGGCCTGCTTCGTCCTTGGTTAAATGGGCACTGGACATCGGAGGGCCCAAATCTGACTGTGGCTCTGTGCTTCACAGCTGGAGTCTTCTCTTACCTCTAACTCCCATTTCCTGCTTGTGAATCCCAGAAGTAGGGCTATTATTTCAAATGCAGACTTATTCTAACACTATTTTCCCTCTTCAATTTGTGATTGTCATAATGGTAATGAAAAAATACAATAAACTGGATAAGCATTGCTAAGACAGACACTTAAAATAGGAGGCTAGTAAGGAAGAGGGGCCTCCACAGCTGTGCACAGCTTTGCCTCAGACCTGGGAGCTGCTATGAAGCTGCTAACCTGTTGCTAACTCGGGTCAAGGCTGAGCCATAAACATCCTGGAACAACTGCTAAATGGACACATATGGTCTTGACTTCCTGTAGTTTTCGCCTCCCCCATTTGCATATTGGAACTAACCAATCCCTAGTAACCTAGTCAGCAGTCCTTCATTGGCATGAATTACACTTTGTGGGTTTTGCCTTTATAAACCCTGCCTTTCTTTATCCTCTCTGGAGTGCAGTTTGGGTTGCTATCTGAGTTTGCATCTCTTGGATTGGAATCCTTTTGCTCAAATAAATGCCTTTTATTCTTTTTTGCAGCCTGAACCTCTTCTCTGGTTAACTATAAGCCTAAGAGAACAGCAGTGGATAGCATGGAGAACTGTGAGTTAAAAGAATAGTAACTTTGGACTATGGTACTTCGTGTACTGCTGTAACACCTGGGAGGCATTGCGCAGGGTGGAGATCCTTGGGAGAGGTGGAGAGCAGACCTGGCCAGAGTGGGAAGGATGGGTGGAAGAGCTGTTTCAGTACTTGGCAGCTTGCCATGTCCTTACCTGACCTGACTGGCCTCGTCCAGCTCTGCTGCTATCTTACCGCAACGTCAGGTCCCTTCTCGTTCTCTCAAGCAGAAAGGATTTTCTCACATTCTGACTAAGATCATGCCAATGGAAGAGATGTTGGCAAGAGACACAGATCCCATTAAAAGGTGACTCAAGGAGAAAGGTGCGGTTTTGTACACACGAGTTAAGGAAGTCCTACTGTATGATGAGTATCCTGAAACCCAATGCAATTGTTTTTCCTCGAGTGCATCTACCGCATTAAATAAAGGCCAAAATATGTTGCAAGACTGAGAGACAGAAAACTCAGCTGCCAGAAGGGAGAGTTTTGTGCCTCACTGTGCAAGGCTCACTTTTCTCTAATAACATCTAAATGAGCAGTCTCTGTGGATGAATGATTATTTATCCAGTTTCTATGGCTGCTTAACAAATTGCCCTGAAACTTGGTGGTTTAAAACAACCATTTTATCATGCTCACAGGCCCCGTAGGTCTGCAGTTTAGGAAGGACACGGGGGAATGGCTCTCTTCTGCTCTCCAGGGCCCAGCCTCAGATCGGAAGACTCCAGTGAGTGGTGCTTATTTGATGGCTGTGTCTAGTATCATCTAGAAACATCTCCACTGACGTGTGGTGCTAGGCTGGCAATGGGAACACCTTCATATCACCTGGGCCTCCTCATCACATGGTGGCCTCAGGGCACTGTGCTCCCCACATGGTGACGCAGAGTTCTGTGTGTGAGGGTTCTAGCTTAGAAGGTGGAAGCTGAATCACCTTTTTAAAAAAGTTATTGTTTTTAGTGGAAGTGAAATTTACATAATGTAAAACTATTTTCAAGTGAGCAACCCATTGATACTTAGTACATTCACAGAGTTGTGGAATCACCACCTCATCTAACTTCAAAACATTTTCATCACTCCCAAGACAAAACCCCTACTCACTGAGCAGTTTGAATTACCAAGATCAAAGTCACACGGCTCCGTTCCTGCCACATTCTGTTGGTTATAACCCACAAGTCCTTCCGGATTCAAGGGGGGAGAACAGGACTTCACTTCTTGATGTGGAAATGGAAAGGTTCAAGGTCATGTGGGATGGAAGATATTCTTACGGCCATCTGTAAAAAACACAGTCTGACACAGTCAACCCTCTGGTCACAGAAATTTACTTTCTTTATACATGCAAGTACACTCTACCCATCCCAAGATTCCACGGACAGCTCCTCCCATTGCGGCATCAGGCTCGGGCTTGAAGCCAGGACCTCATCATCAGGTCCAGGTGCAGACGAAGCCTCCCAGATGCAGTTTTGTGGGTACAACTCTGAGTTCCATTCTTCTTGATCTGAATACTTGTGAACTATTGGGACACATTACCTTTTCTCTACATACCCACACGCAAGAGTGAAACAGGCATTAAATAAACAAGCATAAAATGGACCCTTCCACTGAAAAAGTGGTAAATAAGGAACACACAGCAGTGACTGAAGTCCATAAGAGTTCTGGCCAGTTCTGTGATTGGGCTCAGTCCTAGCTCCTGGGAGTTGTTTCCATGGCTCTTGCCTTTGTTCTCTGGGCATTGGGATTCACCACATGCCCCGGCCATAGTTCTCAGAGTTGAGTACAATTAATAAAAGAACCTATTTTCTAATAAGGAGCTTACTGCCCAGTGGGAGCTAAGAGACTGTTTATCTAAGGGTTTTCCTCCAGGTTAAGGGTAGTTTTGTCCACAGACCTCCCAAGAAATACCAAGATACCCTAGTTTCAAATGCAGTTTGGTGACTACAAGGATGCTTATGAACTAATGCAACTATATATGCATGCATTTATTAATATGACGGGCAATGCTTTTTTAGAAGGTGGTGCTCTGAGTTTGACCCTGAAAACAGAACTATTTTCAACTATGGGCATAACAGTGAGGTCAAGTGAGAAAGAGGGACTGGAATGGAAGGATATTAAGTAAGAAGATAAGATTACCCGGGGGCAAGGAGGTTAGATGTAGCAATTTAAGACGCACATTTGTGGGCAGTTTATTTGGGAGATAATACCAGTAAGCAGGAGAGGGAACAGGGAAAGTGAGGAAGAGGAGGAAAAGTAAGAAGAGGGTTCATTAGTTTGTTGCTGCGGGCAACAGGGGCTCCATGCCACTAGGGCTTACAAGAGAGCATATATGAATGCCTCTCAGAGGTTTCCACCAAAGAATAGAGGCAGCAACATTTACCCACTGATTCCCATCTCCCATTGGTGGAAAGTCCCCCAAGATGTTACGTCCCAAGAACATCCAAGCTCCACGTGTGACTGAACTCTTACAGGTAACCACTGGGGAAGCCCTATGCCAAGAGGTGAGAACACCCAGTAGTCACGTGAGACAAGACACTGTCAGCGTAGGGCCAGTGGAAGCCACGTGGCTGGACTAGTGATTTGCCAAAGCAGTTGATGATGGAGGTGAAGGGAGGAGGACAGGCTGGGGGAGAAAGCAAGGGTCCCTCCAGATCACCCTCGGTTGTCAGAGCAGCCAAGCTGGGAGTAGTACCCAGACTTGGGACAAAAGTTTAACCTTTGTTGTTTGTTTTATGATTTAAAACACTAGACACAGATGCATATAAGAAACAAAACTTCAGAACTTATTGAACAGAAGAAAAACTGTCATCCTAACAGCAGGAAAACAGAAACCTAGAAAGAACCGCTTCTATTTTTCAGGACTTTATGAAACAGTGAGTCCATATGCTGTTCAGTAATCGTTAACAATATCCAGCCGCTCTCGCTGTCAATAATTGTTGGGGTTGTTTTCTGGATGTTTTTCAAAATAACTGTGATAGTTATAGTTTATTCATTAGCACTAAACTTTCACTGTAATAAGTTGCTGAGATTGGAGGTTGTTTGTTATGGCAGCACACTCTAGCCCATCCTGACAAATGCTTTAAAATAAATCAGTACTGCATGGAGCTAGTTAAAGGAGCATGTGATCCTCGAACAAGTTATAAAATGTGTGTCCTTCTTCTCTTTTTCTTTGACAAATGATCTAACTCCTTTAGCTTATCTTATTATATTCTAGGAGTTTAGCCGTCTTCTATGACAATTGGGATACTAACTAAATGAACACCACAATATCCAAACTGCATGAAAAGAGAGATTTTGAACAGCTGCCTTAAGCACAAAAAATTGGGGGAGAAAATAAAATGCATATTTATATTTAACACAGCACTATGTAGGAGGAACTTGTGGGGTCAGAATTACCCTGCCCGATGAGCAATGACGATTTGCAAGGAGGCTTGGTAAATATGTGCAGGCCCACAGATGACTCAAGAACTGTGAATAGAGACCCGGGAAGAGGGTTAGCATGAAAGGAGTTTCCCTCCTGATGGAGGATTAAACTAGGTTCACAACAGGCAGGGACTCTGCCACCTTCACTTATCAGGCAGTCACTGAGTAACTATTTGTTGAATAAATCAGCAAGCAGCCCAGCTTCTGCCTAGCACGATGCTTGATGAGTGGAATGTTCAGAAGTTGTTTGTTGACTCAGGCCATGAGAGGTAAACGCATGCGTTGTTGTTGGAAGGGAGTGCACACACAGTTATCTTATCCTCGGGGGTTGGCTTCTCCCCACTCCCAGCCCACGTCAGCGGGTTGCTGAGCTGGCCGGGCCGTGGGGGTGCGCGCTGCCTCTGTAGAAGTACTCAGGCTGCCTTCTCAGTCATCGCCTGCCCTGGCGAGGTGGCGAGGTGTGCGCCCAAAAGGGGCAGCCGGAATGATCAAGTGTAGGAGTCCCTTCCTCCCTCAGCTCTTGGAAGTAAGAAGCAGAAGGCTGGTTTTTTGTGTGTTGGTTTTTTGTTTTGGTATTGTTTCTTTTCTCCTCTCTGCCCTGAGCAGGAGAGAGAACCAGCCAACCCTGCGGGGGAACTGGGGAAGGCTGCCCCTTTGGCAGCGGCTTGTTAGGAAGATCACTTGGTGGATGCCGGTACCGAAGAGGCGGCGAGAGAGAGATCTGCCAGCATGGCTACTTTGGCTGATGCTTCTAAGGCCAGGAAG